AAAGAGTCAAGGGTGAGGCCCAGTTGTGTGGCTTGAGTACCTGAGTACTTTCTCCAGAAGTTCTGGAGGAGAAACAGGTTTTGAGATAAGTTTGATTTTGAGAATGCTGTTCAAAAGGTGTCCAGTCACCAGTTGGATATGCTGGGAGGTGAGAGAGCCGTGTAAATCACTGGCACACAGCCTCAGCATATAGATGGAAGCCAGAGAAATGGTTGAGGTGGTTCAGGGAGTGTGTTTCAAAAGAGAGGAGAAAAGGGCCTAGAATGGAATCCTGTGGAGTGATGTTTATAAGAGGATGCCTGAGGAGGAGGTGGAGGAGAAAGTTGTAAGGAGATTCAGAGGAAATGGCTACAAACGTTGGTGTTAGCATGGCAATTCATCTGCTTATTCAGCTGCTTCAAGTCAGTACTTATTGAAGACCCATATGCCCTAGGTGTCTTCAGAGGTGAGATGTGACCATTGACATTAAACTTAAACTGTGACCCCATTGCACACCCCATTGCAGCCTTCTGAAACGAGAGGCCCCTTCTCGCAGGTCAATGACAGTCTTATTTTCCAAATGATAGACGTTCTTCCTGAGCTGTTTGTATAGGCCCGGGAGTCCTTCCCAAGCTCACCCTTCTGTATTACGTAGGCCCAGAAGAGCCAGGTCTGGCAGCCAAGCCAAGAGCCTTCTGTCCATGGGTGATGGATGGCCTAAATAGGGCACTCCAGGGCTGTTTGGGGTTGGGAGGAGCATGTCATATGCCTAGGGTTTAGCAGATTGTACCCACACACCAGGCAGAAGCACATAAGGAAGTCACCCCCACTCTGTAGGCGAGACAAAGAGGCAGTTCTCTTCCCACGTGCCAACCCATCTGCTTCTTTGCATTTACCAACACGCCTTTTTTCTTTTTTTTTTTTGGTTCTCTGCAGCTTTGACTAAATGAGGAAGAAGAGTGGGAGGCTGGAGGAAAGGTAAGGTTGGAGGAGGGCAAAAGGAAAGGAGGGGAGTCGGGGGAGCCTCCAGGGACCACCAACACAATAAATTGTATCCTGGACTACCTCAGCCTGGTCCTTTTGCAGTGCATGCTTATTAGTTTCTTCCGGGGAGACCCCCAACGATGGTGGCCAAGGCATGGCTGTGGCCTTGATGGACCTGATTGATGGGGTGCTTCTCAGTGTGTCACAGAACTTGGAGGCCCACTTCCTTCTGTCCCCTCAAGAGGCTGGCACAGGCTCCACAGGACAGCTGGGGACAGGCTTTCCCTGCTCTGGTGCATTTGACTCCCGATGGTGTCATCAACCTCCCATCACTGGAGACAGCAGGCTCTCAACTGTCCAGAGTCGTGGGAGTGAGTGCCTCCCCAGACCTGTGTGACAGCAGGGTAGGAGATAGGAGGTGTGCTGGGAGCAGCTTTGCCCTGTGGGAAGACCTATGTGAGGCTATGTGTATTGGGGGAGGGCAAGGTGTACAGGAGGGAGGACAAGGGCTCTCCCTGCCCCCCACCATCTCACAGATATGGGCCTGAGCCAGGGTATGAGGCCATCCAGCCTGACTTCAAGTCACTGATGGAGAGGGGTTGAGTGGCTGTTCTGGGGTTGGTTCACACTGCTCTGAGCTGGGTAGGGTTAGTGGGGCAAAGGCACGAGGCTCTTTTTGTCTTGGCCTTGATAGTCCTTCAGCTGTACCTCATAGTGCCCTAATTCTAGCTCCTGCACCCTCTGACCTTCATATCCACCCTCACGTAGAGCTGAATACGAGGCTCGGGATTCAGGACTCTCCTTGTAGAGGACAGAGTTAGGTACCTTATCCCTTCCCAGAACTGGAATGCAGAGACGTAGAGCCACTCAGATTTCCAATGACAGTCCCAGTTGACCCCTGGCTGGGATATTTTCCCATCCTACATTTCTTGCCCAGGCCCTGTCTTCTCCTGTGGGTTAAGCCATGAACTTGTGCTAGTCCAGTCACCCCCGCCTGCACTTTCACAGGACATGGTCAGCCAGTGTTCACTTCCTCTTTGCCCACCACACAGGCCACGCTTTGGATGTCAGTGGACAGTCCTGCCCTACTAGGGGACCTCTTGTGGGGCCTCAGGCCTGAGGGGCTCCTAGGGGTGGTCCTGGGACTGCAACCCTGCTGCAGGGGCCCCTGCGGCAGGCCCAGGCTGTGGACAGCTTTGGGTACTGGCTTGGTCTCTATCGTTTTGTTTGCCTTCCCCTCCCCTACCACTCCAGCCGACCACCCCAAAACTGAGCTACACTATCCCTCCCATGCCACCCATCACAGTCACAGAGGGAGCACAGCGCTGCGCCAATGCGCTGAGGGCTGTCAGCCTGCCCCCACCCAACTGGAATGAGCCACCTGCATCCACACACAGGTGTTTCCTGTGCTCCTTCCTGTTACCGTTTTTTTTTTTTTTTTTTTTTCCTCAGCTTGGCTTCCCCAGCAGGTGGTTAAGGGCCCGGCCAAACCTCTTCATATACAGCTCTAAAACACAGGGGGGCAGGGCTGTCTGGGGATCTGGGTCACCCCCCAGGGGGGACTGTTGGCATTTCATTGGCTTTACCGGAGTGCAGGGACACAGACTCCCCCCAGGGTGTCACGCTGCTGTGCTACAGCCACAGGTACTGGGACGCCAGAGTGGGCTCAGAGAGTGGGGAAGGCCCTGCTCTTGCACTGTCTCCACTGAAAGCTCTGGAGGGAGAGGGGAAGGGTGGCAGACCTGTTTCTCCAGCCTTGAGTGTGGGCCTCCCTCGGGCCCTCCTTAGAACAGGCCTGCCATGCTGAAGTCCCCCCACCCTCAGGCTCCTCCCATTGAACACTTAACTTTCTGGGGTTAATAAACTCACGTGAGTCCTCTCCCCGGAGCCCTCTTTCCTGAAGCAGCACAAGCCTGCCAGCTGTGGGGAGGTCACAGGGTTTAGTCAGGTTTGTTATTACAGAGAGGAGGTGGCTCAGGGAGAGGAGGGACCTTCTGTTTAGAGTCACAGGGCAGCCATCCGGGTCTCCTGCCTCCCAGGCCCCAGCTCTTCCCCTCGGCAAGAATCTCCTCTCAACTACCCAGCGCTCAAGGAGCTCCTTGTGCTCAGCCCCTTCTGTAGGAAGCTGCCTGGGCTGAGGCGAAGACCCAGAAGCCTGGCATTCCCTGACGGGTTTCTGCTGCTCCCTGGTGGCCAGAAGCTCCAGCCACCACCACACCTTTTTCTGCCTGCTTCCTCTTTGCCTCCTGGCTAAGTGAGCTGGCTGCTAAGGAGCCATTCCCAGGACTGGCACCCTTTGGGCCTTCTCTAGGCCAACTCCACAGTTTGGCTCCAGTCTAGGCCCACAGCTTCCAGGCCCAGGGTACACCCACCTGCAGGCCGGGCCTCCTCAGCAACACTCCACCACCCTCTTCCTCTGCCCTCTTTTCCAAGCACAGTTCCAGCCTCTGGGCTCTCTTCCATCTGGATTTCCAGGGCAAAAGCACATGGTACTGTCACAGTTGGAGTGTGGACACACTAGTGTCAGGGCAACAGCCAGAGTGTGCTGGAGCAGAAAGTCAGTAGTGCACCAGTCCAGGCTACGTAGGAAAGGCATTTTGCTTTTTTATTTTCTGTAAAACTCTGTAAATAAAATACAAAACCAAGGGACATGGCAGGGCAGAGGCAGGACGGCCAGGCCCGGGACACCGATATATGGCAAGTGTGCTGAGCCGAGGCTGGGAGGCACTTGACTGTGGCACTGACTCTACCCACCCCGAGGACAAAAGGAGAATATATTAGATTTTCATTGATAGGAATCTGTGAGGGAGGAGTGTCTGGAGCCAGCCCTCACCCTCCCTGCCAGTGCCTGGTAAGCCCTGAAAGTCGGGGGAAGGGGCACTGGGGGCCGGTGGGTGGGGAGTTTAAAATGCCGTGCTGGCCATGCTGCCGGGCCCGAAGATGCGGGGCAGGGCATCCAGTGACTCCTCCAGCCGTCGATGGGCAGACTGTCCCTCTTCTCCTGTAATGGATAAAGATGGGGTCAGGAGAGGCCCTAGCACCACCCTGGCCTTCCCACCCCTGACCCCATCTCACCCCTATTCCCAGGAGCCAAAATGTCATAGAACTCAACTCGACCCATATCTCCCATTGCCCAGTCTCACCGCATTGCTGCAGGCTCTGCCGAGCTGCTTCCCTCACGGCTTCTGTGTCCGTTTGGCACAGGTACACCAGGGGCTCAATGCCTTCAGGAGCCTACCCGGGGAGAGAGCATTGAGGTGGGCCCAGTGCAGCAGGTGAGAAAGGCTCAGGACCTAGGGCTTGGGGAGCTGGGAGGGGAGAGAAAGGGGTCACCTTGATGCAGCCCAGGGCCAAGCAGCCAGCCACTCTCGTCTGCACATCCTCATCCTCGAGCTGGTCCAGGAAGCAGAGTAGAGCCTGGTTCAGGGTGGGAGGGCAGACTTAGCCAGACACTGGGAGCCTGGGACCCCAGCCTTTGCCCTCAGGGAGCCCTGCCTGACTCTCACCCTTTCCCGGAAGGCAGGGCCCAGTGACAGGCTCCGGAGCTGAGTGCTGACAGCAGCCATGACCTTGTTGTTGCCATGGACAAGCAGGGAGCTGAGGGCCCGGAGTCCATCCCTTCGAAGTCGCCCCTCAGGTGCCAACCTCAGGGCTTTCAGCACCACAGCCTGGTCATCTGAGTTCAGATTCCGCACCAGTAACACTGAAAAAAGGAAGCCGGGCGGGGGGGAGGGGGGGGGGGGGTTCCCCAACAATATCCAGATCGGTGAGTGAGAGGGGCAGCCTCGGGAGGGACTTCCTGGGTCTGGCCAGTTTTTTTTTTTTGGGGGGGGGGGGGGGGGGGTGTGTGTCAGTTGGAACAAGCTGGCAGGGCAAAGAGCCTCCCGGGGTGGGTTCTTTTGTACCTTCATGTCCTGAAATCACACCTTCAGACCCACCCATAGCATCAGGCCACTTTGTGACCAGGGCTACTGCCTCACCCTCCTCGGCAGTCTCGGTCACATAGGCCTCCATGGAGGAGCTGTCCAAGGCTTCGAAGTAACTCCAGAACTGGAAGATGGTGAGCTGCTCTCCAGGGCCTGACTGGGGCCTCCGGGGCAGCTTCTGCCCCAGGGCATCCTCCAGGAACTTGACACACACTGTAGGAGGCAGTGCCGCAGGTCTCAAGGTGTGGTTGGACCTGGGTCCTTAGAGGGAAGAGTGCTCCCACCCCACGCGCAGGTGCAGGGACCCAGCACAAAAGGGTCCAATCTGGGCCCTTTTGTGCTAAGGCATGAGCCTTCGATGTTTCTTCCCAGTGCTCATCTCAGCATGTCTCTGTGGGCTGACCTGGCTTTCCCTGAGGTCCCATCACTGGGGATCTGAGAAAGGAGAGCAAACAGGGCAGGTAGGCAGCCCACTCACCAGCCTCGGCTAAGCCTGGCTGGCGCAGGGAGAGACGGGCGCCGTACTGATCGCAGAAGGTGAGGAGCACCCGCTCCACAGGGCAGATGAAGGGGCTGAGTCCCTCTGTACATTGGTCCCAGAAGGTCAGGAAGCCGGGCCGGGAGGCCGAGAACTGCACCACTGTGAGGAGGTGCAGGAAACTGTCAGCAACAGGACAGGCCGGTGGGGAGACAGGCGCGTAGGTGAGATAGGGCAAGGGAGGAACTTTGGGGCGGACATGAGGCAGAGCCCACACAGCTTTTACCTTCCTGGGCAGAGGTGGCAGGGATTTCCCATCGCCTGCTAAGCTCACATACTGCTTCGAGCACTCGGGCCTCCCGTAGTAGCCGCTCCAGGGCCCATGCCTCCTGGCAGTGCAGGGGCCCAAATGTGCCCAGTTTCTGGAGAATAGGGGTGGCCAAGTAGCTCAGACCTCAAGACAGAGCTTAGGGAGGGTGGAGACCAGGAACTACCAGTCCCTGCATGCATCGGGAGAGACTTGGGGGAGCCAGAGTGTGGGAGGTGTTCCATTCAGCAAGAGCCAGACCCTGGGACACTGGGGAGTGGAACTCAGAGGAGGTGTGCAGGGCCAGGATTGAAGTGTAGGGCTCCCTGGGGGAAGGGGCTACAAGGGAAGGGTGAGGGAATACCACTAGCCTCACCAGCAGGAGGCGGCTGCAGTGGTACAGATGCTGGACCAAGGCAGTGTCCAGAGCTGGACACTCTGTGCTGAGGGGTCGGGCACTAGGTGAGTCGAGGCTGTCCTCAGCCCCAGGCTCCGGGCTGTTTGGGGGCCTGAGAGAAAAATGGGGTCAACCGCCCCAGGAGCACACATCATCATCTGGTCACCAGAGTATTTTTATTAAGTTCCCCCCATCCGAGAACAGAAGAACACACCATGCACAAACAACAGACAATGGGTAAGTTCACGGAGGACTTCCAGAAGGAGGAAAGGGCTGGGACCAGCAGGTGGTAGCAGGGGTCTCCAGAGCCTGTCTGCCCAGGGCTACCTCCAGCTAGGACTGCTGGGACCTCTGGGGCCGCCGGGGCTGGGATGGGCGGGAGTAGGGTTGCAGGCGGGATGGTCTACGCAATGTGGACTGCAAGGGATTGCGGCCCAAGGGGCGCAGGGCACGGGGCCATAACATAGGCAGCACTGGAGGGAGGAGGGGCTGGGCATGACCTTCAACTGGGAATCGGCAAAGGCCACTCTGGGACAAAGAGCCAAGGGGCCAGGGTCTCTGGGAAAGCTGGGGTCCAGACAGAGGGAGTTGATGCTGGGGGGCACAGGATGCATGGGGAGGCACAGTAAAGGCTCCTTCATAGGGTAGATTCAAGGTGAGGCCAAGGAAGAGAGGAGGAGCTGGAGGCTCAGGAGCTGGTGGGGACCGATGGAGGAGGCAGACACTGCAGGGATGAGGAGGAAGGTGACCAGAAGCACTGGGGATACAGATGGGATTGAAAACATGAGCAACAAGGACACACGAGGAGTACATGGGAGGGGTGAACATAGATGTACCCACCAGCAAGTCCATCCCCTCCCACCCACCTCCCTCGAGCCCACCACCCATCTTACTGCTCTCTTTACGTGCTCCCCCTGGCCTCACCTCACCTGTTCCCCTTTCTCAGCCTTTCTCCTTCACCTGCTACTCACCTCCCCTCTCTCCCCGCTCCTAGCCCCTCTCACCTGTCCCCAGGACTGTCATTGTCTTCATCTTCATTGAGGAAGCTGAAGCTCTCCAGGGCATGCTCCACAGTGATGCTAAGACTGGAGGCCCGGCTGCGAGTCAGGCCTTGTCTCTGCTGGGGTTGTGAAGAGCGTCAGAGCTGTCGCCCCTGCCTGGCTGCCCTCCCTGCACTGCCGCAAACCAGCCCAGCCCTCCTCACCATAAGCAGACTCTCCAGCCGGGTCACCTCCTGCTCCAGGCCCTGCAGCTCAGGAAACTGGCCACGATAGTCATCCAGGGCAGCCATTAGGGCCCCCAGTGCCTCTTCCAGTTTCCTGTCCTCAGCACCTCCAGCTGCCCCTGGAACTGGGGCCTGGGCAGCCCTGGCCACTCTGGGGTCTGAATGCTGGGGCACAGGGGCTAGGGGTGAGGGAGGGAGACTTGGGCTCTGACGGATGGCTTCTGGGAGTTTTGGGGAAGGGCTTGTGAGGGGTTCCCAACTGGAACAGGTAGGACTTGGGTGGGAGGTGCTGAGGGCTATGGGGTCTGCCTGAGTGCAGGAAGTGGAGGCTGGGTAGCTATAGGACAGGGGGTCAATGCCTGGGAGGGTCGGGTCTGTGTTTGCAGAGGGGTTGGAGAGCGTGGCAAGGTCTAGAAAAGTGGAAGGGCTTACAGTTATAAGCGTGGGACTTGTGACAGAATGGGTGGGACTGCTGGTGATCTGGACTGGGTCCTTAGCATTGGGTGTAGCAGTGTGAGTTGAAATCCTGGCTGTGTGAGTAGGGGTTGCAGTAGTGTGGGTACTGCTTGTGGTGGTGTGGGTAGAGCTTGCAGTAGTGTGGGCAGGGCTTATTATGGTATGGCCGGGGCTTATTATAGTATGGGTAGGGCTTGTAGCAGTGTGGGTGGGGCTTATGGTGGTGTGGGTAGGGCTTGCAGTAGTATGGGTGGGGCTAGTGGTAGTCTGGGCTGGGTCTGTGGTACTGGGGGTAGGGCCTGAAGTAGAGAGGGTAGAGATCACATGCTTGTTGGTGGGGCTTGTGACAGTGTGTGTCAGGTTTGTGACAGTGTGGCTAAGGCTTGTGGTGGTCTGGACTGGGTCTGTAGTGTTGGGGGCAGGAGCTACAGGAGTGACAGTAGAAAGCATCGGCTTGTGGGTAGGACTTGTGGTGGTCTGGACTGACCCTGTGGTACTGGGGGTAGGGCCTGTAATAGAGATGGTAGAGACCACAGTCTTGTGGGTAGAACCCGTGGTAGTGTGAGTAAGGCTTGGAGCACTATGGGTAGGGCTTACAGTACTAGAGGTGGTGCTTGTAGTGGTGTGGGTGGGGTCTGGCAATTCAGGAGAGCTAGAATTTATGGTCTTGTTAACTGAGTCTAGATGTGCAGAGGGAGCAGGGTCTGTAGATGTGTGGGCGGGGCCTGTTGTACTAAGAGTGGGGCTTATGGCAGAATGGCCAGGGTCCAGGGCAGAAGGGACAGGACTAGCGTGCTCCCCATGTGTGGGATCTGGATGTGCAGGTGGGCTGGGTCCCTGGACTAGACTTTCTAGGCCTGAAGCCTCCACTGAAGCCTCAGCCAGGGCAGCATCCACACTGGCCTCACTGATATGGCTCAGAGTCCGGCTGTAGGGGGCATGCCCATTGGCCAGGGCTGGGGCCATGGCCCCCTCCTCATCCACGGTGCCAGAAGTGGAGGTCTCAGCCCTAGGGAAGGCAACCTGGATGGGCAGAGGCTCAGGCTGCTGCACCAGGGGCCTGGGGGCTGAGGAGTGGCGCGCAGTGCCTGAGAGCTGTGGGCTAGAGGAGTCATCGGAAGATTCGGATGACAGGGACCATGCTGTCCCATTCTCCAGCTCCTCCTGCCGCCTCAGCATATTCTAGGAGAGAGAAAAGGACATCTCAGGACCACCCCCAGCAAACCCCTGGATGGGGGGCTGAGCCTGGGATGTGACTCACATAGAAGGCCTGTTCCCGAAGTGAGGGTGTGTCTGGTGGGCTCTGGCTGTAGGTGGAGAAGCGCTTGGTGACTGTGGAGGCCTTGTTGACAGTAGAAGCGGCTGAGGGCTGGTCATCCTTGTCGAAGGGACTGGAGAGGGACGACACTGTTAGAAGGTGCTAACATCAAGCCCCAGCCCCGTCTCCAAGCCCCTCAGCCCCACCAACCTCCATGTGACTTCCAGGCTGAGCTTGATGGTGCCGAGGTCATTAATGTCCACAGCTACAACCTGGGGCAGGGCGGCGAACAGATCCTTGGTCTCACAGGAGACGCTGCCTACAACCACATGGTTGGCCAGGCCCTTCAGTTCTGTCACCTGTAGCCAAGAATGCATGGTGGGGTCACAAGGGTGTAGGGGTCATGAGATTGTGGGAGATCAGAGGTCTGAATTTGCATAGAGGTTATGTGACAGTCACAGGGTCATTAGGCCATGAGGAAGTTACAGGGAATGGAGTTCTCAGGGTAATGGGGCCATGGAGGCTCGAAGCAGCCTGGGAGCATGGGGACCACAGAGGTCTAAATTTGTAGTCATCAAGGTCGTGCGAGTCACAGCCTCATGAGAGTTCAGGGGTCATATATTCACAAGGTCAGGAGGTCACAAGGAAATCACAGGGTCATGAAGGTCAAGGGGTCACACATTCACAGAGGGCCATGGAACCAGATGGGGGTCACAGGGGTAAGGGTCTCAGGGTCATGAGGATCATAAGGGGTTCACAGCGTCATAGAGTCACAGGATCTTGGTGTCCTATGGTTCTGGGCAGAGACATCACCTTGATAGACAGGAACTCCGTGAGCAGAGGAAGAAAGACGGTTTCCTCACTGTCCCACACCTGCTTTCCACTACCCTCTATGCGGCCCCGTAGTTTCCAGCGCTGACGCCCATATTTCATGTAGATCTAGGGGAAGAGGCAGGTTGAAGCAGCCCTTGGTGTTGCGACCCTGCCATCCCAGCCCTTCCCTGCCCATCCTCCTACCTCATACTGATCGCCCACACATAGCCTGGCGAAGCCGGCCAGCCCTGGGAGTGGGGGAGAAGGAGATGAGCTGGGTCCAGGGGTCTCAGGCACACACCTCCCTCTCCCCGCCACCAGTCGGCCTCACCACTTGGTACCTTTCATCCGGAGATGGAACTCGCCCAGCTGTGCTTCCAGCTCGCTCTCCAGCAGGCACATGCTCTGAGAGGGATGGGCAGGGACAGGAGGAGGTCAAGAACCAGTCCCCTCTCACCAGCTCTGCCACACTCTGTGCCTCTGCCTCACAGGCACACATCCCTCACCTCTGTGTACTCCCGATGCCCCCGAGTAGCCTCGGCCAGGCTGTCCCGGGCCTCACGGCTCCCTGGGGAGCCGGTGCTGTAGGCACGGACCATGTTGTAGGCGCCATCCCGGAGACGCCGCTGGACACAGTATGCCTCATACAGCTCGTCGATCTGGGCAGATGAGTGGGGTGGCAGAGGGGGGATTGAGACTCACTACTGGGGTTGCTCACCCAGGGCCTAGCATCATCCCATCTCCCTGTGATACCCAATCCCCCACCCCACGCTGCAAGCACACACGCATGCTGCACAAGTACCTTGCTGGCGTGGAACTCCAGCCGTCGTAGGAAGCGTTCAATGGACTTGACTTGCTGGGGGAGAGGTGCGTTAGGAGAAGCCTGAGGCCCAGGGCCCTTTACCTCCCCCTGAGCCAACCTCTTCCAACACCATTCTCTATACACTCACCTTGTCTAAGTCATACAGGAAGCCCTGCGGGGAGAGATGAGGCGGGCATTAGGAGGTAGGGGAAGTACTCCAGTAGGGGCAGTTGCTCACCCAGACCTACCTAGCTCCTTCTCATCATAGCCTTCCTCCCTCTCACACCACAGTCCACAGCCATTCCAGTCAAAGCAGGGACTGACCTACCTTCCCACATGCCTGGTCTTTGCTGGTGTCATAGATTTGGTCCCCAAGGCCCCTCTAGTACTCTTCCCCCCACCTCTTCCATGGGATCCCTCCCCTGGCCCACTGGCTTTTCTACAACCCCTAGGAAGTGAGCTCTGTGCCTCCTCATGCATGGTTCCCTCTACCAGGGAACTCCTGTTCATGCTTCAAGACCCAGCAGAAATGTTTCTTCCTCTGGGAAGCCCTGACCTGTTCCCCAGGAAGAACCATGGCTCTCCCTCAGTACCACTACAACATAATCTTCTGCTGTCCATGTCTGTGGGGTTTGACCCAACCCACTGGAAGCTCCCATGGACAGGCACTGGGTCCCAGGCAAAGTACATGCAGCCTGGGAAAGCTGAGGAGAGGAACCTCCCCAGCCTTTCCTGATACCCCCTTTTCTAGTCACACCTGGACCAAATCACCCCAGAAAACAGCTCTGATGTCACCCAGGGCTGGTGCTGCCCAGTCCCCCACACCACAAGAGCAAAGGGCATATTAATCCTGGGCATACGGGATGCCAACCCTTCACTTACCAGGCGGGAATTCCTCTTGGACTCCCTTATCTGTCTTTGGAGTTTCTCCTGCTCCTGCTGGTGCACTTCCAAATAGGCCCTGGGGAAAGGGGTGACCACAAGAGTTATCTTACCTCTCCAGCTTCTACCTGCCCAGGGAACAGGCAGTGAGGAGAGGGTGTGAGGCTGGGGAAGGTTCCTACTAGCAGAAAGGGAATGAGGACTTAGGGAGGGATCATGGGACAAGGCATTGGGAGGGCACTGCTTACGTCAGGCCTCGCTTGAGCGCCGTGTACACCAGGTCCAGCCGCTCAGGCTGTGGGACCTTGGGGGCCGGGTGTGCCACTGAAAACATCTTCGACACTCGGGAGAGTGCTGGGGGCTTCCGTGGGGGCCCCGGGGGACTGAAGGCTGGGAAGCTCCTGAAGAAGAGACTGCACTCAGGAAGGGGCAAGAAGTCATTCCCCAAACCCTCACTTGCACACTCCAACCCGGTCAGACTCTCTTGACCCCATTAGTCCCCCTCTGCCGTGTACCTGGGCCCCCGCTCCTGGCTGCCGAGGACGCCTGCGAAGGACTGGCTCCTACTGACCCGGGCGCTGAGCAGGCGGCGCTGCGGCCGCACCGACAGGGACATCATGGAATGAGTCCGCGCGGGGCTCCCTGGGGGTGGCGAGGGAGGGTGTCCAGAGCCAATCAGGCCCTTGAAGCCCCCTCCCTGCGGCCCAGACTCTGTACCTCAGTCCTGCCGGCCACGGCCTGAGGCTGGAGTCTGAACCCCAGCGGCCCTGGTGCTTATGACAGGGCGGCCGCGGGTAACTCGGTGTCGGACTCAGCGTGGCCTCGGCTACACCCCCACTTCCTGCAGAGGTGCAGGCTCCGCCTGCCGCGCGGGGCAGGAAGGGGGGTCGCACTGGGATCCTCCCCGGGCTGGGAAGGGGCAGGAAAGGGGAGGGGCGCGCGAAGAATGTGCGGAAGCGCCTGTTTACCCGGGGGTGGGGCGGGCTCCCCAGCCCTGCCCTGCCCTCCTCCCCACAAGTGGACCAGGAGCTCCCACGCCCACACCCCGAGAGGCCGTAGGAGGTCACGGGGCGGGGCGGGGTGCGTGCTTTGAGCCCAGCGGAGCTGCCTGGCAGGCCCGGCCTGTGCAGGTTGGGCTCCCCACACCGGCCGCCCCGCGGAAGCTGCTCCCCTCCAGCCCCCACCCGCTCCGAGGCGCCCAGACGCCAGAGCCCTCCCGGTGCCCAGAGCCGGGGGATTCCCAGGTTGGGGGGGCAGTGCCGAGAAGTGCCCCGCCCCCTCCACTTTCCTGAGACTCCAACCGGGAAACTGAGCCACAGACAGCGGCCTTTGCCCGTGACATTAGCAGGAAGAGATCCTCCGCAGACCCCCACACCGCTCCGGCGAAACACGCGCCCCAGGCCCCCAGAACGCGGCCCGAAGCCCAGCCCCGGAGCCTCCGCAGCCCCGGAACAGGTCCTACCTCTCTTCTTGGAGTTCATGGTAGGTCCGGGACAGCCCTCCAAGCCCCGCGCTTGCCCCCCGTGTCCCCGCCGGCCCAGGGCCACTCGGTGCCGGCCGGGCTGGGCTCCGCGCTCGCTCCCAGCGACTCTGGCTCCTGCTTCAGCTCCTCCCGGCGCCGCCCCCCGCCCAGTTCCTGCCGCCTGACTCAGCCCGCCGGGATGGGGCGGGACCCACCGGACCCCAGGGGCACCTGGCCCTTGGCCCCCCTCCCAGCCTCTGGGAGGGGTGACTGGAGGTTCCCCTCAGGCAGGGGACTTACGGGGGTCTTCTCGGCTGGGTCAGTAGTGTGGGTAAAGGGAATCATGGGCGGCGGTGAATATGGAGGGATAAACAGAGTGAGGACACCGGGTGGGGCTGAATTGGGTGCAGTTAGCACAGGGGGCTCATAGAGTGGCTGTTGAGGGGTGCTGAGAGACAGCTGGACACAGAGGGCTGAGAGTTGGGGTTCTGAGTGTGTGAAGGCTAGAGAGCAGGGGCTGAGAGAGTAGAAGGAAAGGCTGGGGGTGCTGAGTGGAGGGGCTGTGCCAAAGGACGGCAGAGAAGCACTGAGCATGAGTGGGTTTGGAGACTGAGAAGGAGCTAAAAGTGGGGGACTGTATCAACCCCATATTATGTGTTGCCGCCCAGAGAAGGAAGAGAAGCAACTGGGTGCAGAGAGTTCCATAGCACCATGCACCACCCCCATCCCTCCACCCTCAGAGGGGATGCTCAGTCTGGACACCCTCTCTACCCCCAGGCCACAGGGTAGAGGATCTGGTCCCATTGCCCAATCAGGGCCTTTTCTCTGGCAGAAGCTGCATCCTAGGGCAGAGGCCCCATCCTTCTGGCCCCCACCTCACATGGGCTGAATCCTCTTGGTGTTGGCCCTTTCTTGCCCCCAGTATCTCTTTTTTAACTATCCCTATCCAACTCTAGCCTGGATAAAGGCCACCATACTTAGGGTCCATTGAGCATCTCATCCTCTCAGATGGCCTGGGTGCTCCCCCACCCCATAAACACTCTTGCTCCTTGATGCTCAATTCTGCTGCACTGGGCTTACTTTTTCCCCAAGAGGCTGGGGTGGGCTCAGGGGTCTGCATTTCCAACCAGCCCACCATCCCCCTACACATTCAGATGCAAGATGTCCAAGGATCCTAGTTTGAGAAATGCTATCTCCCCCTCCCTCCTTGAAGACTGGATGCTGTGCACCCTATGCTGGCAGCTATGCATTCCCATGGATTGCCCACCCAACACTGGCCTCTCTGCTCCCTGCAGCCACCCTCCATGGGAACACCCCAGTCTCATCACCTGGCTCTGGAATGACCCCTTTCCTAAATCAGAACCACATCTCCATCACCCCCACCTCACCTGCCTTCTACCTGTGACCTCTTGAGACCTCAGCTCATTTATTCAACTATTTACCAAGTGACAACCTTATGCAAGTCTCTGGAGATAACAGCCAGAATTGCACAGACATTGCCCTGTACAGAGCTCACAATCTGCCTCTGCTTCCTTTCTCTCTGCCAGTTCCTTCCTACCTTCTCTTCCCTACCTTCCTTGCACACCCTTCTCCCCAGCCTGGATCTGCAGCCACCACTCCAGCTTGCTCTCCTGCTACCAATATCCCCAGCACCCTGGGCTTCTCTTTTACCTGGCAGAAACCAACTCTGGGCAACCCAACCCCCTGCCTTCTCTGCACCTGTGCACAGGCTGGCGGGAGCTGCCAGAGGTCTTGGCACAGCAGCTGGGCTGGAAAAAAGCAAATCTCAACCTCAGCCAGGCTTTTGTTTCCCATGCGGGAAATCCTCATGTGTGACCTTAGCCATGTCTCTCCCTTTCCATGGAAGATGAGTGTTTCAAACTTTTTCCACAAGCCTCAAACAAGCTCAAGTCACTCCCACATAAAAGATGAAAACAACCTTGGAAACCATCCAAATGCCCATCAGTAGATAATGGAATGCTATACAACAAAAAGAATGAACAATATACAACCACATGCAACAATATGGATGAATCCTACAGACATAATGTTGAGTGAAAAAAGCAAGACCACAAGAGAGGATATATGTTTGAGTTCCTTGATATAAAGTTCAAAAACAGTTAAACTTAATCTATGGTGACAGAAGTCAGAATAGTAGTGACTATTAATAGTAGTGACACTACCCCTGGGGAGTAGTGACTGGAAGGGAGCACAAGGGGGCTGACAGGGTACTGATTATGTTCTGTTTCCTAATCTGGGTTGTATTTCCTGATCCTATATGGGTGTGTTCCTTTGTGAAAATGTCTTGTGAGCTGTACAGTTAGGACATGTACCCTTTCTGTGTGAATATTATATTTCAGTATAAAGTTAACTTTAAATAAACAACTACAAAAAGAAATGACCCCTCTGTGGACTCCCAGCCTCTTTCTAACTACCCTACCCCTCACCCTATTTGGCTCTTTTAGAGCCAAGTTTCTTGAAGAGGAGTCTACCTCCATTTCCTCTCCAAGCCCACCCACTCTTCTTCCTATCTTGGTACAGCTTCTATACCCAGTACTCCCCTGACTGGTCTGGACAAGATCACCAGTGACTTCCCCATTGCTGAATCCAGTGTCCAATGTTTGGTCCTTATCCTGCTTGATCTCAGCAAAGCTTTTCACTGTGTAGTTCTCTTCCTCTTCCTTGAGCCTTTCCTTGTCTTGGATTTCAAGAGACAACATGCCTCTGGCTTTCCACCTATCGCTCTGGCTGCACATTATTATTTTCCCAGAGGATCTGTCTTTCTCCCCAACCCCGAATGGGCCTCATCCTCCCCACTCATGGGCTGGGTACATCTCCCACAGCTTAATGCCATCTAAATTTTGCCAGCTTCCATATCTCTTCCTTGCCCAAACCGTTCTTCTGAGCACCAGGCCTGTTTATCCAGCTGCCTGCTTGATACCCCCTGGAAGCTGACTGACAATGTGGAGTGGGTTATTAGGGATGTGCTAAGTTTGAAGGCCCCAAACTAAAGTCACCACTTTCCTCCTCAAACCTGACTCTCCCCAGTCTTAACCTCTCCCCGACAGCCCCACCATCTGTTTATCCAGTTGTTCAAGACAGAAACTAGGAATCATCGTGGATCTCTCAGCCTCTGTTACCCCCACATCTACTCAGCCACCCACTCCTGCTGTCTCTGGAATCTGCCCCCTCACCTCCACCCCTATAGCTAGAACTCAAGGCCAAGCCATCACCAGTTCTCACCTAGAACCCTACAGCAGCTTCCTAATGGGTTCCCTGTCTCCGTGCTAACCCACAATGATCTATTCAATAACAGCATTGCCCCTCTTGAAATTCCAGTCACCTGACAATGCTAAAAACTGTCCTTTATCAAGTGCTTTCTATGCCAGGCACTGTGCTTAATTAACAAACATCATCTCATTTAATTCTGGCAACAAACCTATGGGATGTGTCCTATTAGCCCCACTTCACAGGTGAGAAACCTGAGGCTAACTGGCTATGTGACTTTGGGCGAGACATTTCTTAACCTTTTGGGGCTGCAGGTATCCATCTGTTAAATGAGGATAACAACAATAATAATAACAACTATCTCACAGGGCTGTTGGGAGGATGAAATGAGATACTTCCTCTACTGGGAGTGTTCGGGGAAGGGAGAATCGTATGTGGAGTACAGAAGTTGGGGTGGACACAGTACCTCACTGTAAACACACAACAAATGTTAAGTGGTGTTAGTAACAATTATTGATCTGCCCAAGATTACACAGCTGTTAAGTGGTAGGGCCAGGATTCAAACCCCAGGACTCTAAATCTTTAACTTCCCTCTATTCTAACTCTTGTGAAACATCCATGGGCATTCCTCTACCCCAAGGATAAAGTCTGGACTCTCTAACATGACCCACAAGACCTTCAGGCTCTGTCCCTTCCCTCATATTCCTTCCTCCTCCCCTCACAGTCCTCTGTTCCCCCCATGATCGTTCTGTTCCAGATACTGTGAATTCTCCCCATGCCTGTAGGCTCTTCAGCATTGAAGCAGCAGCTCTCACTGATCCTATATCCTCTTCCCACTACTCTCAGCCTGACCAGCTCCCTCTCTTTTTTCAAGTCTTACCCTACTGCTTCTTCCTCAAAGAAGCCTGCCTTGGATTGGGTCCCCCTTTAAGGTGCCTCATAGTTTCCTCTCTCTGATCCCTGAGGCCACATTACTCAGTTGTCAGTTCCCCTTTAGGGTCTGTCTTCCAACCAGATTGTGAACTCTGGGGGCTGAAGCCTGTCTGCTTTGCTCACTGCTGTACCCTCTGCGCCCTGCACCAAAGCAATGAAGGAAGGCAGGAGCTGATTATGAGTTAGGGGCTAACTGAACTGGGTTGCCCAGATAAAGGTAGATCCTGAGCTGCTGGAGGGGTAGATTTCAAGTCTCTATCTCCTCTACCTCATAGACAATTTCCTTTTCCCTTCCTTACTTTCTGATTGTATCAGCAGGTGGGGTTCTGCCCTCTGAGAATGGGGCCAGGTGGGGGTTCCCTGGGATTCTGGAACTGAGTAGGTGGGCTGGACTCAGAGTAGGCTGAGTGTCCCATCAGTTTTCTTTCTCTGGGCTTCTGCCACAGGGACCAGGATGTATAACTGTTGGTCTAAATGACCATCAGAATATCAATCTAAGTGACAATTCCAGGGGGTGAATAGGCAGGATCTCCCCTGCTGGGGGTGGGGGAAGGGAAAGAGCTGAACCCCTTGAGCTAAGGGAGAGGGGCCACCTCAACTGGTGTTGGTGGGGGCTGGCTGATAAGAGCCAGGGGATTATCTGGACTTATGGCAGCCCTGAAGTCTGTTCTGGACATGGGAAAGAACCCAGGTCTCAAGGGTGATGGGGCCTGCAGCATACATAGCCAGCTCAGGGCAGCTAGGAATGGAACTCTGCCCGCTTGCGTGGACCCAGATCCCGCGGCCTCTAATACCCTCTACACGCCAAAACTGGTGCACTTGTGTGGGTCAGGAGGTCCCGCCACCGCCACCTGTGCTGCCCAGCTCAGTGGTATGCCAGGCCAGCCGCTTTCCCGGGAGTCTCCGGTCCGGCCCCGCCCCACCGCAGGGCCGCCCAGGACTGAGGTAAACAGACGCTAAAAATAACCCGGGCAAGGGGCGGCTTCAAGGAAGAATGGGGTCCCTCCTGAGCCTGCCCCTGTCTCCATGGCAACTGCCCCAAACCCGGCTGCTGACATCATGCCGCAGCTGCGGGAGCAGGGAGGGAGGGGGGGCGCGGTGCGGCCTGGGACCCCCCACCCCGGAACCGGGCGGAGGCGGCCGGGTGGCCTCACTTCCTGCCGGCCCCCTCCCTGGTCAGCTGGTCACATTCCCGGACGGCGGCGCACTGGAAGCCTTGTGGCCTCCCCCGGGCCGGGCCTGGCAGAGGCGCTAGTCCGAACTGCAGCGACGGGCCCGCAGTGACTCAGCCGCGTCCTCCCCGCCAGCTTTTCCACCCGGGGAGGACCCAGCCCAGCGCCCTGTGTGCTCCCCTCATCCCCACCCATTTCCAGGTACACCTCTGCAGCTGCTGCCCCACAGGACCCAGGACAGAGAGGTTTTTTTTGTTGGGTTGTTTTTGTTTGTTTATTGTTTTTGACAGGGAGGTTTTGTACCTCACTCTCCAATTCTCATCTCTCTCCCCACCCACCCATCCCCACCGCTACCCTCCATGCCGGGGAAGCGGATAGTGCAGTGGCAAGAATTCAAATCAGGGGCTAATTCCCACCTCTCTCCAAACCAGCTGTGTGACCTTCAGAATATTACTTAACCTTTCTGGGCCAGTTTCTGCATTTGCCAGATCGTCTGGTAACCCTCCTCAGAAGGCTGTGCCGGCACTGAGCGATGTAGGCCCAGGGCAAGCCCCACAGATGGCCCATGGTATTGTTACACTGGACTGCACACAGTAGGTGCTCGGCCAGCCAGCCTGGACATATATTAGAAGCAACCCAGAACTGGCTGAGATGGGTCAGTCTTGGAGGCTGGACTCAGGCCTAACGGGGAACAGAGGGTGCTGAAACCAGGCTTACCCAGACCCCTAGCCCTGGTGAGCAGCCCCTTCCCCAAACTGGTTCTGCAGGCTGCCCAGGCCTGGCTGCTTGCAGAATCCCCACACCAGCCTCTCATTTCCAGGTACAGGGTCCGTTCCCCTAAGGCGCCGGGGCTATCCTCTCCGGCCTGGGCCGCGCCAGATTTGGGCGAAGAGCCTAGCCCAAGGCCGGATCGGCCACCTCGGGTCGGGGCCCAAAGCGGCTTAGGCCAGCCGGTGAGGCCAGAGAGATTAGCTCATCTCCGAGGCGGGCCTGCACCCCTCGTCGCCCTCTCCCCATTCCCAGCTCAGTCTCTCCTGCGGCGAGGGCAGTGGGGCTCCCGATGAGCATACGTGCCAGGGCCCAGGCTGGCGCCAAGGGCCCACCCTCAGGCCTGGCCCACCCCAGAGCCCCGGGGCACAGGCCGCCTGGGCCTTGCCGTGGGAGGGAAGGAGGCAGCGCCGGGTGCGGCAGGCCCAGAGGCGGCGGCTTTTGTGGGCGTCCTCCGCGCCCGAGAGGAGGGGAGGAACGACACCGCGAGGCCTGGGTCCCGGGGATGGGGCGATACGGGACAGGGCCTCAGCCGGGGCAGCAGATCTGGGACTCCCCAGGCGGGGGGAGGCACCAGAACCGCCGCGCCCGACCCCCGCCCTGCCCGCGGCCCCCGGAAACGGCGGGGACACTCACATGGCTGCGCTGGGCTGCGCGGACTTCGCGCTCTCCGTGCACTGGTGGCTGCCCTGCTAGGTCGCGCCGCAGCTGCCGCGGTCACCGCCGCTGCTGCCCGCCCCTCCCTCTGCTCCGCCGCCTGCAGCCCAGACGCCCCGCTCCTCCCCAGGCCAGCTGGGCCCCACCCCCTGCGCTCCCGCGGCTCCCGCACCCCTGGAGGCGCTCACGGCTCGCTCCGCCCTCTCGGCTAACGGGGCAGGCCGGTGGCTGGCGGCGTCCACCAGCTTGACGGGGCGGGTCGAGGCGGGACAGGGCGGGGTGGGGGGGAACCCTGGACGACACGCGGGCGGTGGGAGTTCTCATTGCTTGGAATCCGGATACATATGCGGGAATAAGGCGACTTTCGGAGAACCATTAGCAAAGGCAGGAAGGAACCATTCCTTCCCATGCAGATCCTCAAACCGGTGCACTAGAGAGCCTCGCCTGCCTGCTCCCTCCTTGAATTCCGTGGGCTCTAGAGACCTTTCAGGCCCCCATATGTGAAACAGGTCCTGGAGAGACCACTGCTGGGTTGAGTTGGTTGGAGGAAAGGATCAGGGCCAGTTTCAGAGAGGGAAACAAGAAGGCCTGAAGGCTACTCATCAGACGCCTTCTGGGTCTGGACGCTGCCCCTGAGCCCTGCCCGTCCGCCGGCCTCAGTTTCCCTGCTGTGGGGGCAGGCTGTCCTTCCTGCCACCATCTGGCACCGGTAAGTCTGAGTTTTTAGCCAGGCCACACAGTCACCACTCACTGGGTACTGGCATCTGCAGAGTCTCGGGCCTTGCTCTGGAAGCATGGGTGAGGACCCTGGCAAGGTCTGGGTACGTGTTGTCCAAGGGGGCCAGAACCCAGTCCTTTCCAATGAGGGGGCTAGAATACTGGCTATCCCCTGGAGTGGGTTACGGTGGAGTTGATAGCTGACCTCACACTGGGGTAAAAGGGCCAGCTCCACTCCCCCACCCCTCCCATCAATAAGACAACACCGGTCCTCTCCAACCCCACCCTTCAGGCTTCACTCAGTAGTCTGTCACCTTTAGAGGTAGCAGAGGGCACTGACATCCTCTCCGTCGCTAGCTCTTACCAGAGACAGACCTCACCCTCTCCCAGTTCTCCCCCTCTCCAGCCCCTCCTCTTTGCCTTCCTTTGCAGCACCCCGTTTTCTGTAGTCAGTAGACCTGGGGATTGCTTCCAGAGACTGGGTTCTTCTTTCTGTTTGCCCCCACCCTAAAATATCATCCAGTCTCAGGACTTCATCCGTCCACTGCTGAACATCCTGAGCCTTCCCGTGTGCCCAGAGCCCTCTCCTGTTCCAGAGCCCCTGATGACCCACCAGATCTCATGACCTTCCCCAGAGGGACTCTTCTTCCTTTGTTCTCATCTCTGCAAAGCACCACTGTCCACCTAGGCTCCCACCCGAGTGAGGCTGGGCCTCTCTGGAGCTCTCAAAACTGGCACCAATTGGTCCCTGCCCACCTGGAAAGTCATCTCCTCAGCAAGGCATCCTCTGACCACCTTCTCTGAAGACAGCCTCTCCTTGGTACTCTCTGTCCCCATGTCCTGTGGACTCATGCCTTCATGTCACCCATCACCACCAGGTAGCATGTGTGCCCATGTGTGCTCACGTGCCTAAGCCTGCCTCACTGTGAGTCTCTAAGCTCTGTGGGGGCAGGGGCCACAGATGTCCTCATCACCACCGTCCCTGGCTCATAGTGGGAATTCAAGAAATATTTATCGAATGAGAGATTGAATGAATGAGTAAATGCATGAACCCTGGATGTCCCCCTCTCTACCCCCACCTTAATTCAGCCTCCTAGTCCTGTAGATTCTACCTCCTTAACATGTTTCAGATTCAGATTCGTTCCCTCTCTGCACCTCACCTCCCACTATTAGAACTCTGTCGTTTATTAATTCACTCAACAAACACCCACTGACCATTCAGGGCTGGGCAGCATGCTGGCCCTTGGGGTGGCAGTGGCACAGAGTTGTCCCTGTGCCATTGCTTGAGACTCTGATGAGGCAGCGGTGATTGTGGGGACTCACCAGGGTACTGTCCGAGGAACTCTTTATTGGCCTAGAATTCTGGAATTCCACTTCCAGAAAATTCCCAATTGTAATAGATAACGCCCTTGCTTGTCACAGTCAGTCAGTCTCTCTGTCCAGTGTCTGGCCACAACTCTGCATTGTCACAGCTGGTACCCAGGTCTGGGCCACCGTCTTTTCTGGCCTCCCTGCTGCCTCCTTTGTACCCTACAGTTGTTGTCCACCCAACAGCTCAAGTGATATTTTTGGGGGTTTTTTTGGCTACATCTTGTGGCTTGTGGGATCTTAGCTCTCCAACCAGGGATCAAACCTGGGCCCCCTGCAGTGGAAGCATGGAGTCCTAACCACTGGACCGCCAGGGAATTCCCTCAAGTGATCTTTTAAATCATAAGTCAGGGCTTCCCTGGTGGCGCAGTGGTTGAGGGTCCGCGTGCCGATGCGGGGAACACCGGTTTGTGCCCCGGTCCGGGAAGATCCCACATGCCGCGGAGCGGCTGGGCCCCTGAGCCATGGCCGCTGAGCCTGCGCGTCTGGAGCCTGTGCTCCGCAACGGGAGAGGCCACAATGGTGAGAGGCCCGCGTACCGCAAAAAAAAACAAACAAACAGAAAAAAACCCCCAAAATAAATCATAAGTCAGTTCATATTGGTTCCCCAACGCCCTCAGGATAAGTCCAGACTCTGTAGTGAGGCCTCCAAGACCCAGAAGATCCGGCCTTAGATGACCTCACCTCCTCATCTCCCACCTGTCCTGCCAGCCCTTCCTGCTCTGTTCCACTACACCAGCCTCCGTGCGGATCCCAGGACATGGCCCCTACTCTCTGGCCTCTGTCTCTTCTCCCAGCCTCCTTTCTGCCTGGGATGCTCCTCTCCCTTATCCACTTGGAAAACAGCTCAAATGTCACCTCCTCCAAGAAACCTGTGTCCTCTGGCTTCCCACTCACCCCTTCTGAGTACCCATCACTGCCTATTATCCTTGTCTGTGACCACTCCTGGCTCCCCAACCTTTTTCCATCAGGGCCAGGCATGGATGGGGCTGCAGTGAGCAGACGGGACACCTGAGGCTTCACTTGGCCCTCTCCCCCTGTTCAGGGGTCTTGAGGGAGTGACAGCCTCCAAGGATCATGGGGTGCTAGAGGCCTGCCAGGCCTCTCCACAGTAACCAGTGAGCCAGGGGAGGAAGGACACAGCTGACACCCATTTCACAGAGGCACCACCTGAGGCTCAGGGAAGGCAGGGCCTTTCCATGGTCAGAGGAAGGGGCAGCATTTGAGCTCCAATTCAGCTCACCGATTCCTAATTAGTTTGGCTCTGTCTGAGTCAGGCATCATTCCCTGAGTATTCGCTCTGCTGGTGCTGGCTGGGAGCTAGGGCAGAGCACCGAATCATCACCATTTCTACCTTCGAGCAGTTCACATTCCTGAAGGGATGGGCTCTGGCCTGGGGGAAAAAAATCCCTCTAATAGATGGCAGAGGGTGGTGAGAACCACAGTGTACTCCAGTTCCTCACATATGGTGCAGCTAGTTCCACTTTTGAAAGTAACGCAGTTCGAGTCCCAAAACGCAGAAAAACAGAAGCTTCCCTCGCCCCACCCCACAGCCCCCATGGCTACAGCTCTCTGGTGTGCAACGTCACCCCCCAGCTTCCTGTGACGGGACAGAATAAAGTCTGCCCCTTACTGCGCCTGTGCTCACATGCCTCAGATAGGATGTACACATTCATTCATTCATTTGCCAGATATTCAGCAAGCTTTCGTGGAGCCTGGTGTGTGCTCAGCCCTGGGGGTTCCAGAAGGGTGGACAGAGGTGAGGCTACCCAGTCCCTGCGCTTGGGGACTCACTGTCAATTAGGGCAGGTCATCCCTGAGTCTCTACACTTATGTCACCAGTGTGAATGTGTGACTATGATTGTGTCTGTGTGCACATTTATGTGTGTGAGAGAAGGTGTGTGCTGGTTAGGAAGGGCTTTGTAGGAATGGGGCAAGTTGTTGAGACTCCCTAGGCAGGCAGGGGGTGGGTCTTTA